GAATGAAGTGGGGAGGAGGATTCTGAAAAACCTCGGTCTCTTGTCCGTAACCGAGCTTTGACACGGCTGTCTTCCATCCGCATTTCAAGAATATGTCCTTGGTAGCTTCCCATTGCAGGATGTAGGTGACCTCCCCTTCCTTGTAGCCGCGATCTTCAGCATCGTCTGAGCTCTTTTTCAGCTCGGTGATCTCTGCATCTTTCTTTTTCCCAAGCTTGGCCAGCTCTCGCGGATATTTGTCTTTCCGCTCAGCCAAAGCCTTCTGCTTATCTACTTCAACCTAGTTAACCAGCCCCGTAAGTCGGGTGACTTCTGATTCAAGCTTGGCCTTTTTCTATTTGGCTTCGTTTAGCTCAGTCGTCTTGCTGTTGGCCTCAGCCACGGCCAGCCTTGTTGTCTTGCGCAATTCCAACACACGCTTGTAAGCAGCGTGGTTCTTCTGCGTGGCCTACAAAATGAGAGATAGCAATTATGAATAAAAGCCGAGCAAACAGATGATGTAAAATGAAAGATGGTTAAAAGGAGCACTTACCAACACCATTAACTTCGTCGCCGACCGGATGGCCTTCAGCTCGGTCAAATGGTCATGATGCTCCATGTCAGAGGGCAAGCACACGCTCCTAACCAGGTTAAAAGCGAGCGTATGGCCTTTGTCTGCTACCACTGAGTCTGTCTTTTTTATGGCTCGGTTCCTGTATGTTAGTTTTGGGGTCCACTCTGAAGAGCTAGCTCGGTCAGAACGCTCTGGAAGAACCAAATTTGAGTACTCTTCAGCCGAGATAAGAATCTAGGCTAAAGATAGGTTGGCTAGAAAAACCAACTTTGAGTTCTCCTTAGCCGAGATAAGGATCTAGGCTAAAGAGAGGTTGGCTGGAATAACTAACTTTGAGTTCTCTCTAGCCAAGATAAGGATCTAGGCTAAAAAAACTTGGCAAGTATGACCAAACAGATTACAAGGTTCCAAGACCGAGATAAGTATCTCGGCCAAAAAATGTTAAAACTTCGTGTGAACCAGAGTTGAAAAAATAAACACAGGTACGGAAATAAATCGAACAAAAAGAAGTGGATTTCATTCAAGATCAGAAACTGCATTACAGTGAGGGGCTCCAGCCCGGTTACAAAATGCTTTCAGAAATTGATATCAAAAGAAGAAGAATACAAAAATCAGGCAAAAAGATCACCCAGGTCTGCGTCCAGGTCAACTCGAGTTTCATCACTCCGTAGCCCGGTCTTAGCAGGAAGGTCAGTCACATCTCCATCCGTACTGGGCACCAGGGCTCCACCCGAGCTGACTGAGCGATTTGTAGACCAGGATCATTAGTAGCAGTCGGGGTGTTGTAGGGCTCTGGGGATGCCTCATCTTCCTCCCCTACTTGAAGAAATTTTTGCTAAATAGTATTGGCGTAGTCCCCCATATAGTTCGGAATGAAGTGAGGAGGAGAATTCTGAAAAACCTTGGTCTCTTGGCCGTAACCGAGCTTTGACACGGCTGCCTTCCATGTGCATTTGAAGAATATGTCCTTGGCAGCTTCCCATTGCAGGATGTAGGTGGCCTCCCCTTCCTTGTAGCCGCGGTTTTCAGCATCGTTCGCGCTCTTCTTCAACTCGGCGATCTCTGCATCTTTCTTTTTCCCGAGCTTGGCCAGCTCTCGCAGATATTTGTCTTTCCACTCGGCCAAAGCCTTCTGCTTATCTGCTTCAGCCGAGTTAACCAGCCCAGTAAGTCGGGCGACTTCTGATTCAAGTTCGGCCATTTTCTGTTTGGCTTCGTTTAGCTCGGCCGTCTTGTTGTTGGCCTCAGCCACGGCTAGCCTTGTTGTCTTGCGCAGTTCCAACACACGCTTGTGAGCAACGTGGTTCTTCTGCATGGCCTACAAAAGGAGAGATAGCAATTATGAATAACAGCCAAGCAAACAGATGATGCAAAATGAAAGATGGTTAAAAGGAGCACTTACCAACACCATTGACTTCGTCGCCGACCGGATGGCCTTCAGCTCGGTCAAATGGTCATGATGCTCCATGTCAAAGCGCAAGCATACGCTTCTAGCCAGGTTAAAAGCAAGCGTATGGTCTTTGTTTGCTACCACTGAGTTTGTGTTTTTTATGGCTCGGTTCCTGTATGTTAGTTTTGGGGCCCGCTCTAAAGAGTTAGCCCTGTCAAAACGCTCGGGTTCTGGGCTCGGTGGCGTGGTTTGAGGAGGTAGGGTGTCATCTTCATCAACAAGGCGTGGCTCGGTCGAGGAGGTGCGAACACGTTTATTGGGTTGAGATGATGAGGCCTGGGCTATTGGGAGGGCCACCACTGCATCAATTGTTTGACCAGCTGGAGTTGTCTCGGTTTGGACCCCGCTGTCTGGAATTGATGTTGTCTCGGTGATTAAGGCTTGCATAGCTCGGGGCTTTGCCATCTCTTGTTCTGCGGTTAGGGGAATAAGGTTGATTTGGGGGAGAGTTGGATCTAGTTCTGGTGAATACTCTAGTTCTGAGGTTAGGGGAATAAGGTTGATTTGGGGAAGAGTTGGATCTAGTTCTGGTGAATACTCTAGAAGGAAGTCAGTTACCCTGGTCTTCCTCCTTCTGCTATATCTGTATGTTGGTTCAAAATTGAGTAGCTCGGCCCAACCTCAATCGCGGTACTGAAGCGCGGCGCGGAGTGCGTCTAAATTGGGGTACTGATATTGTGACTTTAACTGGTTCAAATCTGCATAAGGAGAAAGACAACGGTTAGTGCGGTGTAAAAATTGTAAACAGCAAGAGCAGAAATTGGACAAACTAAACCGAGGTATTCATACCGACTGTTCCTTTATTCCAATTAATATGGTAGCCCGGTATCTGGGCTTCCTGGTCTTCGAAGTTGCCCAAGACCCAAAAAAAGTCATCGTCATTTACATCTTTGTCCGGTGTGTTTTTGATTATTTTCTCTCGACGACTTCTTATTCTTAAATAGTATACCCAACCATCTTCATTCTGGCCAAGTGAATATTGGTGAAATAGCTCGGCTAAACCGAGGTTGAGGCCAAGCCGGCGATTTAGCTCGGCGATGCCATTTATTATTCTGTAAGAATTGGTGCTAAGTTGGGTTGGGCATATTCTAGTTTGCCTAAGGAATTCGCATAATAGTGGCTGAACAGGGAATCGGAGTTCGGCCTCTACAATGGATATGACGGTGAAGGGAACGAAGCCTGGTTTTCCCCATGGGGTTGTATCGAGCTCGGCTAGTGAAAGGTGGACGTCATCAGGGATGTTGTAGTCCTTGCGGAATTCGGCAATGGCCCCTGGTGAGTTTACTAGGCACCAGTAGTTACCCATTTATAACTTAAATTGTGTATAACTTACCCCGGAGTCCTAGTTCAGTGTTGAGATGACGTTGATTATCTCGGTTGGGCGTGCAAAGGTGTGCCTGGCCAACCTAGTCAAAGTCTGCAAAGTAAAGATGAAAAGTGTTATGCCCAGATAACTAAACCGGGCTTAAAAAGAAGGAAAAATAAAAAACTCTAGAACAGCTAAAACGGTTTGTAACGCTTAGCTCGGTCATTACATGAGTTTTTAGCCCGGTTAACAAGCATTCGAGATTTTAGCTCGGTTGTTGGGTAAGGTGTGCTGGTTCGGTCGAGTGTGCACCTATCACAAACTGGCTCCTAGTTCGGTCATGGTGCTATTCACGATCGGAAGGATCGCATTCCAAATTCATTGAAGATTCAACCAAGGTGGTTATGGTTTGGGGGTCTAGTTTTTGAGTTTTCGTGGTTCCTACCCGTTTGAGCAAAACTACAGAGTGTGTTTTGGAAAATATATGTGTAGATACATCTATATTATACATATTCACGAAATAAACGGAAAAAGTGAGGGATTGAGTCACTTGCAGTCTAAAAGAAGAGGATGAAGTTCCAAATGGTGAAGATGCCAGACAAGAGCACAAGTTATTGTAGGTGTTATGATTGAGAAATGGAGGCTTAGAAGGCAAGAGAAAGAAGATGAACAGTGAAATGTTTTGATTTGAAAAAAAATAGGGTTTTTTTATAACCTAGATTTGGGCGGAACTGTTCAAAATTCGCGAGGTACGAAGACGGCATTGGCAGCTGTATGCAACCAATAGGGGCCAACCACGTGTATATAGGAATAGAAAGCGATTCAGATGTACAGCGTGACTGAAAAGACCTTTTTTGACCGGACAGGGCGGTAGCCCGGTAACAATTTAACTCGGTTGAAGGTCTGAACTTTTAGCTCAACTGGTAACAAGTAATCCCAAACATGCTACACAGATGGAATTAAAGGCAATTGAAAGGGTAAAAAGCGTAAGTCTGGGCCGAGCTGGAACTGGGAAAAAGCGAGCCGAGCTATGGGTTGAGTAGAATGGGCTTTGCCATTGGGCTCTGTTAGCTCGGTTATGAATGACTGAAGTTAGCTTGGTTCGAGTATTCTGCATTGGGGTACGAGGGGTTGCGTTATGCAAACAAGTTGATATCGAGCTAGGTAAAGCAAGGTAGAACCGAGCTAAGGAGAGTTCAGTGAAACTTGCCACGTCAGCATATGTTAGCCCGGTTGCTTTGTCATACTACCGAGGTAAAACCATTTCACTTGGTTAAAGCAGTGAGGAGGGTGTTGAAGGATAAGCATTATCTGTCAGGAGTGTGGTTCCTAGGAGGACTCTATATTGAGGAATAAGAGTCCTACTAGGATTGTGTCAGGCAAAAACTATAAAAACTCACAACAGAACCTATGTACAGGTATCACAACTTTGATTCTCAAATACACAGAGCTTATTGTCTATTGTCTAGTTGCTGACTTAGGCATCGGAGAGGTTTCCGGCACACATCTGCCGGTTAGCTCACGTTTGTGTTTTCAGGAAGAAAAGTAAGGACGTTTGGAGGAGCGCAAACTTGATCAACAGGATCATACGAGAAGAATAATTTTGTGCTTGTACAAACCCCGAACTCAAAGTATGGGTCAAGCAAGTCCGAGAAGCTGCGTATGACATTGGAGATGTTCTCGAGTTGTACATGCTTTGCCTTGGACATCGTCATGGCCCTGGATTTCATGGTTTTCTTCGTAAGGTTTCATGGTTTATTAAGACTTTAAAAGCTCGTCACCAAATTGCTTCTGAAGTTCAAAGAATGAAGTCCAGAGTCATCAATATTTCGAAGGGACATCAGAGGTACCATGATAGATATGGTACATTAGAGCAAGGCTTAAGCTCAAGGTCCACTGGTCTTAACATAGCATGCCATGATTATCGTGGCGATACCCTGCTACTTGATGAATCTGAGCTTGTGGGCATCAACAAGCCCAAATCACAACTAATTAGGTGGTTAGTGCATGAAGACCCCAGACTCAAGGTGTTTTCCGTATCAGGAATGGGCAGATTGGGCAAAACAACACTGGTTAAAAAGGTCTTTGATGATGCAGTTGTGAAGAATCATTTCCAGATCCATGTTTGGATCATTGTTTTTGAATCCTTCAAGATTGAGGTGCTCCTAAAAGACATCATCAAACAACTTTTTAACGAAATCAAGCAACCAGTCCCACAAAGGATGGACAACATGGATACCAACAACTTAAAAGGGATAATTAATGCTTTCTTGCAACAAAAGAGGTATGTGCTTGTTTTCGATGATGTATCGGATATTCATGCGTGGCAATCTTTCAGACATGTGTTTTCTAGTGGCAATTGTGCCAGTCGAGTGGTGCTCACAACCAAAAATACAGATTTAGCTTCATCCGCTAGTACAGAATATCATGGCAATGTCTATAATCTTCAGCCCTTGACTCTCAAAAAGTCCTGGACATTGTTTTGCAGAAAAACAATTACGGAGAATTCCTGCCCTTCACATTTGGAAGGACTTTCAAAAGCCATCTTGAATAGATGCGAGGGATTGCTGCTTGCAATTGTGGCAATTAGTGGTCTTTTATCAACAAAGGATAAGAGCAGTGTGGATGAGTGAGATAAGATCTACCGCAGCCTTGGTGCAGAACTACAAGGAAATGACAAACTCCTAAGCATGAACAAAATATTGTCCCCTAGTTACATTGATTTACCTTATTATCTGAAGTTCTGCTTTCTCTATCTAAGTGTTTTTCTAAAGGATTGTTTCATTGACCATTGGAGATTGATTCGATTATGGGTGGCAGAAGGATTTGTAGAAACGAAACAAGGAATGACGAAAGAAGAAGTTGCCGAGGGCTACCTCAATGAGCTAATCAATAGCTTGGTTCAAGTGGCAGAGCTAATAAATGATACAAGGGTCAAAACATATCGCATCCATGACCTTTGGCGTGAAATTATTGTTTCGAAGTCGGGAGAGCAAAACATTGTGACACTAGCTGGCGAACAACGCAGAGAGTGGCCCGAAAAGGCGCGGCGCTTATCAATCAACAATCATTGAGAATATACACAACAAAGCAAGCATTTCACTCGACTTCGTTCTTTGCTTATGTTCAATGCAACAGATTCACCGTCCACATTGTCCATTCTCTCATCGTCAAATGATGGTCTACGGCTGCTAACCGTGCTAGACTTGAGAGGTGCCTTGTTGGAGACATTCCCAAATGAAGTTTTGAAACTACTTCGACTTGGGTATTTAAGTTTGAGGGGAACCAAGGTAAAAATAATACCAAAGTCGATTGGAGAGTTCCAAAACCTGGAAACATTGGACCTTAAACAAACGTATGTCACTGAGTTGCCTGATGATATCCTGAAGCTCCAACGACTTCGCCATATCTTGTTGTATCAATACCACCCAAGGCCTTATATTTCTTTTCATCACCAATCCGGATTCAAAGCCCCGACGGAAATAGGACGTTTGTCATCCTTATAGAAACTTTGTTCTATTAAAACAAACCATGATAATGGGACCATTTTGCTAGGAGAGGTAGGGAAGTTGACTCAACTGAAGAAATTACACATTCAAAAACTGAGAAATGAAGATGGGAGGGTGTTATGCTCGTCCCTTGAGAAGCTTAGTAACCTTCGCTCATTGATTGTTCGTGCAACAGGAGAAGACGAGATCATTGATCTAGATTCCCTTTCCTCACCACCTCAACTTCTTCGAACGCTCTACCTAGAAGGAAGTTTACATAAGGTACCACATTGGATACCTTCACTGCACAGCTTGGTAAAAGTAATGTTACGATGGAGTAAGTTAAGGGACGTTGATCCGTTCAAATCCCTTCAAGGTTTGCCCAATTTGGTTTAACTTCAATTTATTCAGACACATGAAGGGGAAGAATTGTGTTTCAAGGCTGGTGGATTTCAAAGACTTATGAGATTATGCCTTCGTGGATTAGAAGGACTGAGATGGGTGAAAGTGGAGGCTGGCTCGATGCCTCATCTTGAAGAGTTATCTATCCGGCAATGCAAATTGGTAGAGGAGTTTCCCTATGGCATTGAACATCTAACCAACCTTAAATATCTTGAATTGGGTGATATGTCTGATGGATTGATTTCGAGTCTGAACAGAGACTTAGAGCGTGGGAATAATTGGAAAATTGCACACATTCCAAAAGTTTGGATTGGGGACTCAAAACTTGGCTATTGGAAAGGAAATTATATATAGTGAGGGAGGAGAGAGCTCTAACCATACTGAATCACAACATTTAGAATGCTTATTATGTATTTATTTATTTTCATGTGCTCTTGGTACGTGATTTGTTGTATTCATATTGGGATCAAATTTTTCTCTATTTTTTTCTTCTTTTCTTTTCTTTTCTTTTTTTTGTTTTTTGTTTTTTGTTTTTATTAGACTGGAAGCCTATTATTTGACCTCCTAATTTTGATCCTAGAGAGTTGGTAACTTCACAAAATTTTTAATTGGGATTGTAAATCTTAGGGTTCGCTTGGTGAGTTTTTTAAAAATTTTTAAAATTTTCTTTAGCTTTAGATTTTTTGAAATTGAAATAAAACACATTTGTTAATTCTTTTCACTTTTAAAAGACACGTTTGCTAACTTCACAAATTTTTGAATGGCGAGATTTTTATTTTATTTATTTTTCTTTAGCTTTAGATTTTTTGAAATCGGAATAAAAAACATGTTTGCTAATTGTTTTCACTTTCAAAAAAATCTGGCTACAATTCTTAGAATTTCTAGAAATAAGAAAATTATGAGTTTACTTATTTTCAAAACAAGTTTCATTCTTTCTTACCACCCTCACCCTTCCGTCTTCGCTTGGCAATCATCTTCGACCACTCCCCCCTTTTGGTAACTTAGTTCTTGTTTAGGATACTTTAAAAAAGTCAAAATATCAAAAAGTCATCATATTTAAATCACATCATCTTATTTAAGTCATATCACCTCTCTACCACATCACTTCAGACCCAATCCATATTTCATAAAAAGTCAAAAAGTACATTTATTTAGATCATCCTAAACCACTTCATTTTGAAAAATGATATACAAATCTATTTTATAAACTCACTTTCTAAATCCGGTGATGTATAATGTAAAAGAAATGAATGGTTGATGATTAAAGAAAATATTAGAAAGAGAGTTCACTTAAATATTCTAAAGTAATTACAAATACACCTTCTAAAGTTTATTTAAAATATAGATTGTTCCTTGTAATTTTGAAAATTACAAATACTATTATCAAAAAAATTTATTTAACATAATTAATAGAAAGATGAAAATTTTAATTATTCTCCTATATAATAATAAAATTATTTGAATTGTAAATTGAAATACATTTATGACATCATTACAAATAATTAATTAATTTATTAATAAAATGAGTTATTTGTTATGTAATTAGAAACTTAAAGAGTCGAGATGTAATTTTTAGAATCACAGAGAGCAATATATATTTTAAGTAAATCTCAAGAGGTGTATTTATAATTTATCAATATTTTAATAGACTGTTACATCATTAGGCTTGAAAAATAAGTCTAACTTATTTAATAAAGTAGCACTACTCTTTGATTTTTTATGTTCTTGAGAACATGTATACTAAATATGCTATTTATTGTAGTTTTTACAAAAAAAAAATAAAATAAAATAAAAAGAATAAAAACTAAGCATATTTTATGTTCTTTGTACATAGGGGGAAAAAAATAACCACAAGTTCGTAAACACTACTTCAAGTATTGGGTTTCTAATCATTTTAATTTAAATTAGCACAAGTTTTTCAAATCTCAAAATGAATTTCTTAGGATTATCACTTCTTGAATTTTTTAGGGCTGCAAAAAGCATTTGGAGACTTATTTTCAAACTTTATAAACCTCAACAAATGAGAATAATATTTGCAATCAGTTAAATTTTTTTATTCATGACCATATGATTCAAAGTTCAAACTCAATATATGTAGTAGTTAGAATTGGAGGAATGATGACTTGGCTAAGGGTGTAATACCCCAACCCATACTATGCTTAATTATGCACGTGTTTATGCATTTAATATGAATTTGCAAGTTAAGTATGTGAATTATGTGATTTTGGATTTTATATCTGTTGAATGTAGAAAAAATCTATTGTAATTAGAACTTTGAACTAAAAATTGAAAGTCTTAGAGGCGCGATAAACCAAAACCGATTTCATATCTGTAATTAACATGATTTTTAGAGCCTTTGGTGAGATTTTGAAAAAATTACGTTTCGTAATGAATAAATTAAGATTTTTGAGTTATATATATATATATATAATTAGCCCTTTTGTTCTTCATTTGGGGGGAATAAAGCTCAAAGTGTGAATTAGAGAGAGAAGAAGAGAAGAAAGCTAGGGATTTGAAGGAAATCAAGGGGCAAACCCTAAATTTGAACTAAGGTATGTTAATCTACTTGAAATCTTTGGATATATCTCATCATTTGCTTGAAATCAAGAGGGAATTGAGAATTTTGAGCTAGGGTTTTGAGTTGTGCAAGGCTTTGAAATGAAATCATGAAAACTCTTCATTTTTGTTTGATTTGAGTTCATTCTTGTGGTTGATCCATGAAACAAACTCTAGATGGTTTATACAACCAAGATTTGTTGGAAGATTTACCATGTTTGTATGTATTTTAAGCTTGTGTATGACATTCATGATTGTATGCAAAAGATGAGCCAATGAATTTGATGTTGAAGCAAGATTGATATGTTTAAAGTGAAATTACACCTATATCATGCTAGTATATCATGTTTTTGGGTTAGTTTTGCATGAATTTGGACCTGGGAATGAGTTTGGGAAGTTTGCATCTTTGAACCATTTTCGGGCTGTCTGATTTTGCCCATACCGCACGAGCGGCCACGGGCACCGCATGAGCGGAACATGAAGAAAAAAAGAGGTTTTCATTCTGCTCTTTGGGAGCTCGAGCAGCCGGTTTTTCCGCTCGAGTGGATTTGGGCCGCACGAGCGGTCCAATTGGGCGCACGTGCGGCCAACCCTGTTTCAACTTATACCTGGTAACTTCAAATAGGCACGTCTCCCTTATTTGGACTCCGTTTTAGGCGATTTTTTAGCCTAAATTCAAGCCCCGAAAGTCTAGTTTCCAATGGTGGTGGTCTCACATCCAAATTCTAAGTACACAAATAGATATGCTCAAATTAGTGAACGCTGTTTATTTTCTTTTAACTGTTTCATGCCATTTTCTACCCTAACTTAGTTCTCTCTCGTTTCTTGCTATTTCCATGAACCTTAAATATGTAAACATGATATTTTCGATGGAAAACATATGACATTGTTGTAGGAAACATTAAGTTAAGTCATGAACATTTATGGCCGTTTAAAATACATCTGTGGCATAAGCTTTGTACGTGAATCACATGTAGACAAGCTTAGCATTAAACACTTGAAAGGGATTAAAGAATGGGGAATGATTGAACGGATATGTAATGAATAAAGTGATTGAGTGAATTGAAAGTAATGTGTTTTGAAATGTTATGCTTGGTTATGTTCCTACAGGCTGAGTCATTAAGGAGTGTCATCCAACCAAGCACTGTGAGTAATTTTCTTTGTAACAGTATTTTCATATGAAATAC